GTGGAAATTCGAACCCTCACCACTCTCATGGCCTTCAGGAAAGCTGTAAAAACCTGGATGTTCCAGCAGACCTGGAGCTGTTGACCTCACTGTTGAGGTCCAGCCCCGATTAGAATGAATTTATGAGGTGTTGCTATTTTAAACCGTTTTCTTTTGTTATGTGTTCGTTATGCGTCTTTTTTTTTCTCTTTATTTTTGTAAGCCGCCCGGAGTCCTTCGGGATTGGGCGGCATATAAATGTGGTTAATTAAATTAAATTAAATTATCTAAGTGCTACTTGTTTTAATACTCATGCAAATAATGTGAGGAGGGAAATGATTAACCTGCCTTTTATCAAATTATTTAGTAAAAGTTGCAGATTAAGGAATTTCGGTGGGAAGTCAGGAAAAGTGAGCCGTCATAAAAAAACTTGGCTTCAAGCTAGCTTTACAGCAGCTTTACTGGGCTCTTAACTAAGCTAGTGTGAGGTAAAACATCTGGGTCTCTCTTAGGGAAACTGGGAGTTTTAAAATTCAGAAGTTTAAAAGTCATAATACCCATTCCTGAAATTTTCCATGTTGGACCCACCACCTTGGAACTTTGAGTAGGTCTAATGAAGCATGCATTGTGCCCCCCTTCCCCAGCCAAGTCTCTCCCATATTTTTATTCTGTTAGGGTTGAGTGGAAGTTTTGGATTATTCTGTCCAAGTAAAAGCTGGTTTTAGGATATCAGACTTTCACTCATTTCTGATTTTTTTTTAAAAAAATCTGCATGTAATTATAAAGATCATTCCTTTGTAACCTGCTTAACTGGTGTGTATAGTGTCTCTAAAACCTGCTTTTTTGAGTTAATATGTCAAGAGTTTTTAAACCTTCGGTCTTATGATTATTAATTTAAAATATGTAAGAATTTTCATCTTCTCGTATAAAATGTCAAATCTTCTGAAATATTGGAGATGGGAAATTGGAGATGGGACCACTCCATTCTATACATTTACATCCTAGATACATCTATGGTTTCAGGTTAAAGGCCTATATGTTACTTCTTTAAATATTGGTGTTACATTGCAGCTTATTGGTGGACATTATGCTGAGTATGTAAAATTGTACACCACAGTAAATGAGTAAAAATAGAAATAGCTACCCACAAAAATACTTAATCAAAATTCTAAGATCATCAATACAACTGAAGTGAAAACAGACATTTTTNGATAGATAGATAGATAGATAGATAGATAGATAGATAGATAGATAGATAGATAGATAGATAGATGCATATATATTAGAAATGAGGCAAATCAGGACAATGATGTAGCCTATCAATTAATGAAAACAATCCACGAAAATGAATGTAATATAAGAATTAAGATAGCCTAGGTCTAGAATTTTATTTTCCATAATCCTATTTTCTTAATTTGTAATTTTTTTAAAAAATAATTACAGTCTTTTATCATCTCTGGAGCTTGTGAGACAAAAGAAACTGAAATTGAACCCAACCAAAAGAAGTTAACTTTTGTTCAAGATTCTTTGAGGTTTTCAGCCATGACTCTTGATGCAATGGTAGTACCCCTGAAAAAGCAGCTCATCGGGAAATTTTCTGAGATTCCTGGGCAATGGGCAAGTTAGAGGCTGTGGCTGGTTGATTGGTGGCAAGGAATATTGTTTTGCTCCAGCTCTATCTGGAATTCAAGGAGGACTAATGCCCTCAGTATTTACTTCTCTGGACTAGACTACCACAATGTGCTCTGCATGGGGCTTCAAAAACTCCCTGGAAGTTTCAATTGGTCCTGAATGCAACATTCCACTTCTTAGTTGGTACAGATTGACATGAATTGTGACACCCATTTTTTAAACCCTAACTCTCTGCTGACCCTTTCCCATATCCCTTTAATGAGCTGGATTTAACTTTTAAAAGGCAAATGGCTTGGCACCAAGGTCTGAATGGCTTTTTCCTCTCCAACCTGTTTCAACCTATTCAACTGATATACAGTATCTAAAGAGACCCTCCTTTCTATGACATGAGAAGGCAGAGGCATATAGGTGCTGCTGTTGCTATGGCTGTGTTTCGGAACAGCCTCCTTCCAGAAGTATGATTAGCTTCTCCTTTGTTGGTTTTCTTCAAGTTATTAAAAAGTGAATTGTTCCAGGGAGCATTTAGGGAATGAAATCTCACTAACAACTGTTTGATCTTGTAACTATGTATGTCCATTACTGCTGACTACTTATATTCATTTTCTTTTCATTCATCCATTCATCCATTCATCCATTCGTCCATTCATCCATCCATCCATCCATCTATCCATCCATCCATCCATCCATCCATCTATCCATCCATTCATTCATTCTTGCATGGCCATCCATCTCACCAGGTAATACTAGACAGCAAACAATTAAAAATAAAAACAATGACAATAATGCAAAAATTTAAATACATCGGAGGAGAAAGGTGTGATAGATATGTTTGCGGTTCTTGAGGCATTTGTAAAAAGAAAAGCATAAACAAACTAACTAAGAAATAAATAAATGCAAGACTACACCTCACATCACAACTTGGAAACAGTCCCCGGACAGACTTGGGTTTTTACTGTGTATTATAGATGTTTTAATTGTGTTAATTGTAACTTTGTAGTCAATTTGTTTTGTTTTTATTTTTGTCTTGCTTGCAGAGCTAAAGGGTCTCTAAGAGTGTAGCAGACATAAATAAATACATAAAGAGGGCAGACATAAGCCAGGGGGGTAAATAATGAAAAAATGTATGATAGTATTATACAAATTTTGTGACTTACTGTATGTAGTTGGGTCACACACATCATGACATCAATATTCAATTTTGGTATCATCACTGTACACTATACACTATGAATGTCATTGATGGCACGACATATATACTATTTAGAAAAACTAGAACAAGGATCAAACCTGTAACTCACCATCTCTTTTGTACTTGTCATGCAAGCTTTATGGAAAGTAAACTTTCTATTTGCAGTGCTGCTGCTAAGCAGGGATATGAACTACCTCTGCTTTAGAGCAAGCAAGAGTTGTGAGTACATCTGCTTCAAGATAAACTATGGATAATGTTAACTGTGGTTTTATTCCTGAAATTAGCCAGCTTAAACCTACATTGTGAGTTGTAAAGCTGGTTTATTTCAACAACGTTTAAGATAACTCGTGCATATAGCTTAAACTGTGAAGAAGAACAAAATGTAAACAAATGATTTCAGGCGCCACTTTGCAAAATGAGAAGACATGGAACGTATAAACTCAAAAATATTCCCTAATGGTAAATATAATTCAGCCTACTCGAATATGGCATCATCAAACACATCCGCTTTAAGCTCCATTATCCACAAGTCAGCATGACCTGTATGTCTGGAAGGCACCAAATATAGTCAGTATATTATAATTTTAATTACATGCAAATATTTTTGAAACAAGCTACTTACTTGTTTCCCGTGATTACCCGGAGCTCCTCTTGGACCCACCGGCCCCTAGGAAGAAGGACATATATGCTTATTAATCAAATAATAATGAGAACTAGGGCAGAAAACCAACATGTAGGCATCATGCTGTCAAAAGAAGTTTAAAAAGACAACGTGCAAAGAAAATTATGAAAGTTATGAAAATTATTTTCTCTCATATAAAGCACATTCAAGTCACCTGTATAAAAATAAATATTGTTTGTTATCATACTGCATTATAACCTCTCTTACTATTCTCCAGTTGACTAAATTTATTTAATTCCAATAGCCAGTATCTAGTCTATTATTACTATTATGTTTAATATTTTCTTGTTTCACAAATTTCATACATTATGGAGTATAGCCTCTAAAAACAGTAAAATGGTTTTTTCCACATAAAATACCTGAACTTTTATAGTGCCAGAAAATACATTTACAATTTCTTTCTTAGGTTTGGATTTACATATGTAACAAACAAAACCTGAAATACTTTCCCTGTGTCATTTCTATTCATGATATAAGGCAAAGTTCAACTGGGTTGTTAACATTTAGAGATTCTTGAGTTTATTATGCAGCTCATACTTAAAGTGAGTCAATCTGATTCTTATTTCTTAAAATAATGATTAGGAATATGTATATCCTTTTAATTAGGCAATGTTTTTATATTACTAACAACATACTTTACTATTAAAATTATATTGTATTTGCATATTTGTATATGTGTTTTTGCAGTTTAATATTGAAATGGGCTCTTGAAAAGATACAAATGAATTGGACTAGAATGAACATTGACTTCTTGATCCATCTCAAAAGTGGGCAGTCTACAGCCAGGTAGTTAAAAGTTGATTGTTCTCATATAGCAAAATGTGAAAGTTAGGTAATGTGATTTTACCTTAAAAAATTGGCATAAAGATTTCCAAATTTTCCTTTAAATTGTTCTCAAGGTTGCTTCTTCAGGGGCAAAAAATCATTTTATAAAAAAATGTGCAACCCCTTAAATGAAAAACATTGTCCATCTTTCATTTTTCTAGAATTCACTAGATATTTAGTATTTTGTCCTTAGTCTTTTGGCTTATAAATTCTGACTTTAAATTTCAATCCCAATATCTAAATCTATGAAAGCTGCTGCAATGGGGAGAGCAAACATAATCCATTTACCACACATAGAGCACAGAATAATTGGCAAATTGCTTTACAGAATGAAAAGTTTAGAAAAGCATTTAACAGGATAACAGAATATTAGAGTTGGAAGGGATCTTGGAGGTCTTCTAGTCCAATCCCCTGCTCAAGAAGGAGACCCTATACTGTTCCAATCCAAACTGGCTATCCAATTGCTTCTTAAAAGCCTCCAGTGATGGAGCATCACAACTTTGGAAGACAAGGCATTCCACTGGTTAATTGTTCTCACCATTAGGAAATTTCTCTTAGTTCTAGGTCTTTCTTTGATTAGTTTCCATCCATTGTTTCTTGTATTGTCTTCTGGTGCTTTGGAAAATAGATAGACCCCCTCTTCTTTGTGGCAGCCCCCCAAATATTAGAACACTACTATAGCTCTGATATCAGTTTATTTGATTAATATTTGAGGAAATATTAATTCCTTCTCAATAGATACTTAAAAATATCCCGAGGACCATAGAATAATGGGGTGGCATTACATAGAGCTAGACAACATATCTCTTCAGAATTTACTTTTTGATCTGTGGTCTAGTCTTGTCCATATATATGCAACTCCATTTTTGTGGGAAACAATGCCAATTAAAGTCAACATTACCTTGAGAAAAGTTTATCTTCTCATGCTTCACAGAGCAGATTTACCAATATATGTCTATTTAAAAGCCTCCTACAAGAAGAATTGTGGCCATTTGGGGTGCAAAAATAGAATAACTGAGAATATACTTCAAACTTGCTTTATCTACTATGTACATATTATGTGTATCATACCACTGTTCATAGAGTTTCCAGATCACCCCAGGCCTTTTATACATCTCTCCTATTGTTTGACAAGTACTCTACCACAATGTATAAAGCTGTGAACAGAATTTACTGTGCTATAAGATCCATCCAGTTCCACCTTCATTTTTTCAGTATTTATTTCATAATACATTTCATTAATTCATTAATCAATTCATATCCTTACCACTGGACCAGGCATCATCATGTGTGCAAAGGCATCATCTTGTCCTGCCATCTGAGAGGTAAATGGCTGTAAACAGAAGAAGTTCCATTATTCAAGAAATGTATGAAAGGCATTTTTGCTCCCCTCATCAGAGAATTGCAATGATGAATTCAAAAGCGATTGAATTGTGTATTGAGGTTCATTTGTGGGCCTCGTCTTTAAAAACATGAGAAAAATTACACTTCACCTTCTTTGAGGCATATTACAAAATGAATAAACAATACATGTTGTTAAAAAATTTATCCTTTAAAAAAATAGCTTTACATTATGGAAGAAAAAACAGAAGTGCCTCAATGTTATGACTGGATAGGGAAATTCTTGTTCATATCTACCACTTTTCTCTCCTCAATATTTCAGTCAAGTTCAACTGTGTAACTATATTTACTGTAATGTTTGAGTATTTATATCACAAGTTGATAAATATTTGTCAGCCAAGGGCCATACTTCTCTAGGGATATTTTAGCTTCAGGACACAGTAACAATTGTGAAGAGGCAAGGGCACATTAGCCAAAGTGTTTCATTGTATTGTATTTTTGGTATTTAAGGACAGTTTAAACCTAAAATGTACCAAAAAAAAAGTTTGTTACATTTCTCTGTGGTTTGGATCCTCATTCAGATTCTTGGCTATGGCATGTCCATCTAGTTATTAAATTGTTTTTATCAACCCGTTTTAATAGTCCTTGTAGAGAAACACAAGTTTTGTTATTGAAGTGGACCGAGAAAGAACGAGGCAGGAGGCTCCTGAGGTAAAACTAACAGCGTTTATTGAAACTGAACCGAACAGTAGACAGGCTAGCGGTAGATCGGGACTCCGCCCTGCTTGACAGCTATTTATACGGAGCTGTCAAGCAGGGACGCCAATAGGCGCGCATCTGACAGCCCGCGCTCAGCCAGCTGCACCTTAGCCAATCAGGCGCGGCCTGGCTGTTGCTGGCTGTCAGTCGTACGCACGAGGACTAACACTTATAGTTGAATATATATTTGCTGTATGTTTTTCCTTAAGGTTAATTTCCAAAATTCAGTAATCATTTGAATTCAGCTCTGAATTTTCCATAGCACAGACTACTTT